TCTAGCAACGGGTTTATCCCATTTTGGGCTATAAAAGGGCACCCAAATCCTCTCTTTTAACACACAATTCTTCAACATTTCAATACTCCTTCATTGCATAATCATTCCTATTTTTCTTAGCTATTTGAGAGCCAATTCTTGAAGAAATTGTCGCGTTCTTGAGCGTTTACTAGTTCACTCATATCTACTCTTTGTGAGAGTTTCATTCCTGAGTGTTTAAGTGTTTTCATACACTTTAAGGGAGTTTGTTCCCTTGTTGTAAACTCGAAGGAAGTTTCTTGTTCCTTCGTGAGAAGTCTTGGAGTGCGGTATCTCCGAGCAAAGGTGTTGAGGCTCGTGTGACTCGGGTTCTCAAGTTGTATCGGTTTGTTAAGCACCCTTAAGCTTAACGGAGTTAGTGTAGCTCGAGAGAGTCTCTCGGGGGGCTGGATTAGCCACACGTTGTGGTGAACCAGGATAAAATCCGGTGTGCTCCTTCTTTACGCTCTTTACTTTAACGCTCTCGTTTTAATTTCCTGCGATTTTGTTTTAAACGCTATTCACCCCCCCTCTAGCGTTGGGCCTTTATTCTAACACACCTTTGTCTATATCTATTCAAATAATTGTGTATCAGTATTTTATTTAGGATACATGTGATATTTTTATATCATGCCAGACCATTTTTAAACATGTTGTGCTTTATTAATTTTCAAAAGAGAATCAATTTTAAAATTTGATGTTTATTCATACATGGTCTCGTAAAAAAATCACATGTTAACATTGATTTCTTGCCAATGGAATCAAACAAATTATTAGTGGGTATGTGTTGCCTATAAAGTATGAAGTACATTTTTTTAAAAATTAGAATCTTATGATGTGTACTATGATGTGTATTATTGTTTAACATGTTCTATTGCTTATATATAAAATTTTAATTTTTTTTTGTATATTTTAAAAAAACTAATTTAATTAATATTTTGTAGGTCTCATGGCCAACATCACCAAAAGAGAATTTGACATTCTTGATTTATCCGGTCAAAGGTACTTGAAATGGAGGATTGATGCACTTGCTCACCTTAAGGCTAAAGGCCTCGAAAATACAATTGCTGAAAATAATACATCATCATCCCAGCAAAAGGCAAAAGCCATAATTTTCCTTCGTCAACACCTTCATGAAAGTTTAAAATCTGAATATTTATTGGTGGAAGATACGAAGGAATTATGGGATAATCTCCAAGAGAGATATGGACATTAACAAAAGGTTCTACTACCAAGAGCTCAATATGAATGGATCAATTTAAGATTCCAAGATTTTAAATCAGTTTGTGACTATAATTCTGCTATTTTCAAAGTCAAGTCCACATTAAAATTATGTGGACATAATATCACTGATCATGACATGTTGGAGAAAACTTTTTCCACCATGCATATGTTAAATGTGATATTACAGCAACAATATAGAAAAATGGGCTTTAAAAAGTATTCTGAGTTAATCTCAGTATTACTTGTTGCTGAGCAGAATAATGAGCTCTTAATGAAAAATCATAACATGAGGCTCACCGGTTGTAGCCCTACAAATTTTGGCCATCCTGATCGTGGTTCAGCACCAGAATCAAATGTTATCCAAGGTGGTGCACGCGGACACTTTAAACGTGGACGCAGAAATAACTGCAACAAAGGGCTAAATATAGGGGATATAAACATCCAAATAAATCATTCTCCAAAGGAGTCGGAAAATTCAAACCACCACAGGCTAAAACTCATGAAAAGCCAAAACCAAGTGGTGAATGCTATAAATGTGACATAAAAGGACAATGGGCTAATGAATTTCGAAGTGCAAAACATTTGGTGAAATTATATAAAGCTTCTACAAAAGGAAAAGGAAAAATGTGGAAGCTAATTATGCTGATGATATCAATCCAATTTTGCCTAAATTTGATGTGTCCGATTTCTACATGGATGATGCTGAAATTGGTGATGAAGTGGCCTTTGGTGGAACTACTACTGTTTAAATATTTTAATTTGCTCTATTATGGTGTGTTTACTTTAAAAATAAATGTTTAAAATCTGTACTTTATTTTTCATGTGTACTTGTATTATTATGTCTGTTCTAAAGATTATAATACTCCGTAAAATATATGATAATTATCTTGAATTTATATTTATTTATATATTTATTGATATTCAAGATATGGAGATAACTGCTTATGGCTCCAGTGGCAAAGAACAATGTCTAACTAACAGTGCCACAACGCACACCATTTTGAGAAACAAAGAATATTTTTCTCAAATGACACTGATGGAAACTAATATCAATACAATCTCTGGTGTTGCAAAGCTCATTGAAGGGTCTATAATGGCTTGTTTAATCCTTCCCTAAGGGACAAAATTAATTATCAAAGACGCATTATATTCCAGCAAATTCCGGAAGAATTTATTGAGCTTTAAAGATTTGCGTCAAAATGGTTATCACATTGAAACCATGACATAAAATCAAAAGGAATACTTGTGTCTAACGACAACCAAATCTGGCAATAAAATTTTTTGTGAAAAGATGCCAACGTATTCCTCGGGGCTATATTATACTCACATTAGTCCCGTTGAAGTGAATGTTGTCTCTAATAAAAAATTAGATGATCAGAAAACATTCATTTTGTGGCATGATCGTTTGGGTCATCTTGGCAGTGTAATGATGCACAAAATAATTCAAAATTTACTTGGACATCCATTAAAAAATATAAGGATTCCAAGATCAATTGATTTCCCATGTATTGCCTGTTTTCTTGGAAAGATGATTGTCAGGCCATTTCTAAATAAAATTGGAGTTGAATCTCCTGCATTTTTAGAAAGAATTCAAGAAGATATTTGTGGGCCAATTGCCCCACCATATGGGCCATTTCGTTATTTTATGGTGTTGATTGACGCATCAACACGTTGGTCACATGTTAGTCTTTTATCTACGAGAAATTTTGCATTTGCGAAACTCCGTACTCAAATCATACGTTTGAGAGCTCAATTTCCGCATTATTCAATAAAGAAAATCCGACTTGATAATGCAGGAGAATTTAAATCCCAATCATTTAATGGCTATTGCATGTCTATTGAGATTGATGTGGAGCATCCAGTTGCTCATGTGCACACTCAAAATGGTCTTGTTGAGTCTTTAATAAAGCGATTACAATTAATTACTAGACCATTATTGATGTAATCCAGTTTACCTGCATCTGTTTGGGAACATGTTGTATTGCATGCTGCAAATTTAATTCGGTTAAGGCCTACTACAAATCATATTTTTTCCCCATTGCAATTGGTAACTGGAAAAGAACCAAATATTGCTTACATAAAAATATTTGGATGTGCCGTATATGTACCAATTGCTCCACCGCATCGTACAAAAATGGGTCCTCAAAGAAGGCTGGGAATTTATGTTGGCTTTGATTCTCTATCAATTATAAAATATCTTGAACCCATGACCGGTGATTTATTCACAGCTCGGTTTGCTGACTGTCATTTCGATGAGACAGTATTCTCAGCCTTAAGGGAGAAAATGAGAAAAAGGACCCATGTACGAAAGAAATTACATGGAATGCAATATGATTATCTTTTCTTGATTCAAGAACAAATGCATGTGAACAAGAAGTGCAAAAGATAATTCATTTACAAAATGTTGCAAATCAATTACCTAATGCATTCACGGATTCAAAGAAAGTGACAAAGTCACATATTCATGCTATGAATGCTCCTGCCAGAATTTAAATTCCTTTAGAGAAAAATGAAAAACTCTTGCAAATGAGTCTTCAATAATCAAAAAGCGTGGCAGGCCACTTGGTTCAAAAGATGTAAAACCAAGAAAACTTAAAAGACAAGATACGATGTTTGAAACAAAAGACGTTCATTCTTCTTGGAAAGAAAATGAACAAACTGAGCATGGTGATATAAAAAATAATATCAACGAACAATTTGTTTCAAATGAGGATTTAACAATCTCTGAAGATCTGAATAATTCAGATCAAGATAGAAACGTTGATAACTATGAGATTTCAATAAATTACGTTTTTACGGGATTGCAATGGAACAGAAAAGATGTTTATGTAGATGATATATTCGCATATGCCATTGCCACAAACATCATGGATGAAAATGATGACATTGAGCCAACTTCAGTTGATGAATGTCGACGTAGACATGATTGGCCAAAATGGAACGAAGCAATGCAGGCAGAATTGAAATCACTTGAAAAACGAAGTGTTTTTGGGCCTATAGTTCCTACGCCAAAAGACGTGAAACGAGTTGGTTTCAAATGGGTTTTTGTGCGTAAGCGCAATGAGAAAAATGGAATTGTGAGATATAAAGCCTGACTCGTTGTCCAAGGTTTTTCTCAAATCCCGGGGATAGATTATGAAGAAACTTATTCCCGAGTAGTTGATGCAACTACGTTGAGATTTTTGATAGGCATGTCTGTCTTTGAAAAAAACTTCAAATGCGTTTAATGGATGTAGGGACAACATATTTATATGGATCTCTCGATACTGACATATATATGAAAGTTCATGGAGGGCTAAAATTTCCGGAGGTTTATAGTTCAAAACCTCGAGAGATGTTTTCCATAAAATTGGAAAAGTCACTATATGGACTAAAACAATATGGCAGAATGTGGTATAATCGTCTCAGTGAATATCTGCTCAGAGAAGGATACAAAAATGATCCAATTAGTCCATGTGTTTTCATCCGTAGATCTAAATCAGGCTTTGCCATAATTGCAGTATATGTTGATAATTTAAACATCATTGGAACTTCTCATGAAATAGAAAACACTGCATAATATCTCATGAAAGAATTTGAGATGAGAGATCTTGGGAGAACAAAATTTTGTCTTGGTCTTCAAATTGACCATTTGAAAGACGGAATATTCATCCACCAGTCAAATTACACGAAGAAGGTTCTGAAGCAGTTTTATATGGATAAAGCACATCCTCTCACATCCCCGATGGTTGTCCGCTCTCTCAATGTACATAATGATTCGTTCCGACCTCGTGAGGATGATGAAGAAATACTCGGTCCAGAAATACCATACCTGAGTGCGATTGGAGCTTTGATGTATCTAGCAAACAACACTCGACCAGATATTGCATTCTCAGTGAACTTGTTAGCCAGACACAGCTCGACCCCGACTAGGAGGCATTGGAATGGCATTAAACATATTTTGCGATATCTCAATGGTACCATCGACCTTGGTTTATTCTACCGCAAAGGTGCCAAGGCCACTCTTGTTGGATACGCTGATGTAGGATATTTCTCTGATCCACAAAAGGCAAAATCTCAAACAGGATATGTGTTTACTTATGGGGATACTGCAATATCATGGAGATCGATGAAACAAACTTTGACTACCACATCATCAAATCACGCGGAGTTAATAGCTCTCTACGAAACAGGTAGAGAATGTGTATGGTTGCGATCAATGATCCAACATATCCAGAGCGAGTGCGATATAGAAACAATTACTAGTCATCCGACTCCTATATATGAAGACAACACTGCATGCATTGCTCAAGTGAAATGAGGTTACATCAAAGCAGATCAAACAAAGCATATATCACCAAAGTTCTTCTCAACACATGATCTCGAAAAAGATGGAAAGGTTGACATCAAGCAAATCAAGTCGAGCGAGAACCCCGCTGATTTATTTACAAAAGCATTGTCTCCGAAGAAATTTGAAGAATTCGTACACAAGATTGGCATGCGCGATCTCCGTCAATTATGTTTATGAACTGTACTCTTTTTCCCTTGATCAGGTTGTTATCCCATTGGGTTTTTCCTGACAAGGTTTTTAACGAGGCAGTACATAAAATTAGAATGAGTTTCTAAACTATACCCATCTCACAAAATACTCATCATCAATTGAAAAATGAACATTCAAGGGGGAGTGTTAAGAAAAATATGAATTGTTCATTTATCAATTAATTAGGCCATGCTCCATGATAGTTGCAGGAACAAATTGTCTATCATCACCATCAAGTTGCCATTTGTATAATATGTATATTATTTGTAATAGTGTTACCACTAAGCCTCTCTACTATAAACAGAGAGAAGAAATCAGAAATATATCATATTTATTTTCATAATCTCTGACTAATTTTTCTCTCATTTTATAACATTTACTACTTTCTTCTTATTTCTTTCTTCTTGTGGCCCATGTAAAGCTACGGGTCAGTACAAGTCTCTAAGCAGCCCAACGACGCATCCGATTTGTCGGAGCGCTCCCCGTCATCACTCATTTCAGCCGCTCTGCTCCGCCGCCGTTGAGGAGCCGCGAATCCGCAAAATCCAGCACTACGATCGCTAAACCCTATACCTCTCCATATACATCTGAACTCTCCCTCGTCTTCTCCAAATCTTCCCAGCTGCTAAAGAGATGCCTCCGAAAGCTGCCAAAGGCAAAGAGGCTCCGACTGAGCGGCCCATTCTTGGCCGCTTCTCGTCTCACCTCAAGATCGGAATCGTAATTTCTCTCCCTCTCCTGAACTCTGGTTCCTCCTGTGCGTTTAGTTGCGAACATCCCAATTGATTGCTGTGAAAAAAGCTGCTACTCTTCATTTCCATCATGCTGTTCCTGAGTCTGCTCCTGCTTTTCCTATGTGATTGTGTGGTTATTATTGATTTTACCTGCCTGTAGTCGTTTATCGTTTTTAGCACATCATTGAGAGCTTATTGTTATTTATTTATTTACACAATGTAAGCTTTTCATGTTTCAGGTCGGATTACCAAATGTAGGGAAATCCACTCTTTTTAACACACTTACTAAGCTGTCTATTCCCGCCGAGAACTTCCCATTTTGCACTATTGAGCCCAATGAGGCTAGAGTTAATATCCCGGACGAGAGGTTTGAATGGCTTTGCCAACTTCACAAGCCGAAGAGCGAGGTTTGTATCTGAATATAAATATTTCATGCCTCAAAGTGCATGTGGTTTATGTTTTTTTAAAACTAAATTTTCTAAGTGGAGTTTTAGAATTATGTGTGGAATCTGTTATCTGTTACCTTGTGTTTGATTTTTTCATTATGGATGATCAGGTTTCAGCCTTCCTGGAAATTCATGATATTGCTGGACTTGTTCGAGGTGCTCATGAAGGACAAGGGCTGGGGAATAGTTTCTTATCTCACATCCGTGCAGTAGATGGCATTTTCCATGTTTTAAGTAAGATGGTTTTTCTCTTTTCTTCCCCTTGCTTTGTTGTGTAAATACACCAATGCACCCTATATGATACCAGGACCCCATCGCGTAAGTGTATGTCACCCAGGGCCCACTTGATACCAAAAAGCCGTATACCTTAGTAGTTACTATATGTAGATGTTTAATGTGTCTGTGTGGAAGGCTTGTATCATGTTTATGGATGGATTCTACAATGAATATTGCAAAACTCTTACAATGAGAATAATTTAGTAGTTATGGTTGAGAATTATCTGTCCTGAGTTGCGGTTCATTAATCTAGTAGGGTATTCCTCTTTTCCATAATTTTTCCAAAATTTTCCAGAAAAAAACATTGTCCATTATTTGTGGAATGCATTTACAGACCAGTGCTGATCACTTTTGTAGCGATTGTCTTAGTACAAGTTTTATTTTCACAGGAGCCTTTGAAGATCCAGACATCATACATGTTGATGATTCTGTAGATCCGGTGAGAGATCTAGAGATCATTAGCGAGGAATTGAGGCTTAAGGTATATCTTCATTGAATACATGATAAAATGATAATTAAGTTGTGTGCTTAACTGCTTTTCATTTTTTCTACAAGAGATACTTATGCACCATGTGAATCATGTATCTAACTGTTTTTAGGGCAAGTGCACTCACATCATTGATATGCCACATTAGTTGATTTACGCTAACAATGGATTTAAATTACACCATTTGACTGATTTGAGACATACAAAAGAAGGGAATAAACTTAATGTCAAAATATTTTATGATCTTATTCAAGTTGAAGGATAAAATGATAGTACAACCATAGTTATGAATGGCGTCCGCCATGCTCGCCTATGGCGGTTATGGCGCTGTGGCGAGCCTCTACCGCCTGGATTGGGCTGTGCATGGCGATATCATTGAGGCACTAAAAAGCGATCGCCATTGTCGTCATACAGATCTGTCTAATTTTTGGATTAATTAAATTGGGCTTAGGCCCATTTGTAATTAAATGATTAGTTGGTTGATCCAGAAACTTAATCGATCATATGTATATACAGAAAAATTGGGCCTAAGACCACAACAGCCAATTAGAATCCCACCAAAGTAAGGTCTGGGAGGGTGTGTGTACACAGACCTTAACCCTACTTGAAAGTAGAGAAGATGTTTCCAGCAGACGCCTGGCTCAAAAAATACAGAAAGCACATAGCACAACAAACAACATTAAGAGCAAATGGAGGGCAGGAGAAGCGCAAAGAGACAAACACACAAAGAGTTTTAGCAAAAGACCACAAGCCTGAAAAAAAACTAGTCTAAACTCCAAACTCCCCAATTACCCCTGTCCTACCAAACGCTCCTACCCAAGGTCATATCCTTGGTAATGGCCAAAAGTCGTAAGTCATGCCTAATCACCTCTTTACAAGGATAAAATGATAGTATCAAGGTCTAAGCACCATATATTGTGTGGTAAGACATCTCTCATTGTCTCATTCTCTCCTACTTGGATGACATCACTAGTAAAAATCACAGTATAAACACTGAATGCACACACTTCCACAAAAGTTCTTGCCTCTCCATGTACACCCCTGAGCTTTGTATCCATTTTCACAAGAGCTAGTGGCCCCTTACTGCTTAATTAACTACTCCCTCAATCCCTTTTTTATATCCCTTCTCATTTTTTTGTCTGTCCAACAAAATTTGTCCCATAAAGATATACCATATTTAGCAACAATGTAACATATGTGTGAGTCACCTTTATTTTTTCTTTTTGGTTTTAATATCAACCACACAACTGCACTTTTGTTAAATCTGTGTGCCACTTCCCCCCTTTCTCAACAATAGCAGGATCGAGGGAGTATGATATAAGGAAGAAAATTGGAAGCTGGTCCTTCCCTTTTAAAAAATTCAAAAAAAATGAAGGATGAAGGAAAGCTTAAAACAGATTAACAGATGATGCATTTATTCACATCTAGGATCATGGATCATGTATGCATGGAATATTGGAAAACCTTTTCAGTTTTAAATGCTAATTTACTTATTTTTATTGCTCAAATTAGACTCCATCAATGAAGTTAGTATATTCCTATTAATTTTCTTGAGCCTTGAGAGCAAGATCTAAATAAAGTAAACATTGGAGAGAGATATGTAATCTTGTCAACCATTTTCATCATTTTGTGAGCTTTCATCACGATAGATACATTAAATGTCATTATTCTTATATCTCTGATTCCCAACAATATTTTGACTTTTGAGTGAAATTCATGAAAACTTAATTTGTTATTGAGATAACATTTCAATGCTATTTTATGTGCATTAGGATGCTGAGTTCTTAGAGAAGAGGATTGACGATCTTGAAAAGAGCATGAAGAGGAGTAATGACAAACAATTGAAAATAGAGCATGAACTGTGCCTGAAGGTTTGCTTTATATCTGATTTGAATGTTTTATCAATTTCCCAAAATGTAAAAACATTATTGACACATCAATATTGTGCCACCATTTTTGATAAAACCTGCTATAAGTAGTCATAAAGCGGATAGTATATTTTTTAATGTACCTAGCTCTTTAAACATGTGAAATTGCTTGCAAATAGTTGTTGGTTTGAATATTCAAGTTCCTCCCTGTATGATCTATTTTTTCTTAATCAATTTGGCATAACATGCACTCATTGTTTAATTCCAGAAGTTGAAAATTTCTTGCCTCCTATCAATCACAACCTCTAGGGTAACACAAGTCTATTTAATTTATACTGCCTGTTTATGATAATGTGTACTAAGATAACTGATTAGATGACCTGGAATTCTTATTGATGCTACACCCCTTCTATGATGGGTTTGTTATGTTTGTAAGGGAAATGATATGACTCAATGCTATATTCCTATGGAAAATGTTAGATAAAGTTCCATTGAACTAGAAAGAGATTGACCAGCAGGCGAGTGTACCTTTGTTCGTGACCATTAAGTCACTAATTAGATTAACTATAGTTTTAGTTTAAAGTTTCTGTGCTTCATATCCTTTTTCTGGCTTTGGACATGTGCATTACATTCAGCATTTATTTCAACTCTGCGTATTATTTCCCATATACTCCCTCCGTCCCTAAATAAAATTCCCACTTTCCTTTTGTGGATTCCCTCAAAATAAACTTCTCATTTCCAAAAGGGACAAGTAGAATGTTGATTTAGGGACCGGAGTATATTATAATTGCAAGTACGTGTACCTACAATTATACACATCCTATGATTGCAAATTTTACATGATGTTGTAAATGCTTATTTGCACAGGTGAAAGCTTCTATTGATGAAGGTAAAGATGTTCGTCTGGGGGACTGGAAAGCTGCCGAGATTGAGATATTGAATACTTTTCAGTTGCTCACTGCAAAACCTGTTGTTTATTTGGTGAGTAGAAGTGTCTGTGTTAGTCTGTGCTTGTTTCTTATTGGCTGCATGCACAGGTCCACATGTGAGCATTACTTTCTTTTCCCTACTTCTCCATACAAGGAAAAGTGTGAATACCGTTGGAACAATGAATAAGTTTGCTTGCTATGCATTAAAGTCACTTGAAATGGAAGCCATTGAAAAAAGCTACATGCGGCAAAGAGTAACAATTTTTAAAATCACATTATTCATATCCTCTAGTTGACCAAATAATCTGAGGCTTGCAAATACTTTTCCATCAAAGGATGGTTATTTTATCTGCTTTGACTTTTCTCACTCTGCCCGTTGCTCTTTTTTGTTTCTGATAGAGTTTTCTGAAATAGCCTCTCTACCCTTTTAGGTAGGAGAAAGGTCTGCATCCCCCCCCGGGGACCACCCTTGTGGGATTTTCCTGAGTTGGTTGTTAAATATATTTTGGGCTTATGAAGCATGCATTGTATTGGATTACAGTTTACATCTTCATGGTGATTGTCCCTCTCATGTCAATATGACATAAGTTCATGAAGTGAGGAAATGCATATTAACCATATACTTTTTTAAAATTGTCATCCATACCATACTATGGTGCCCAACAGAACTCTTATACTCAGTAAATTCAATAGTACTCCTTGCCCAAAAAGTTTATTTTAATTTTTGTACTTCAAGAGTTCAATGATCATTTATGATGGGAACCCAAATGCAATCTACTTAGTCAATGCATTCCAAATATTCTCCTAAATCAATACTCTTTTCATGAAAGACAATTCATTATTATTTTCCTCCGTGGTTTTCTTTCTGTTTCTAATTTCACATTGAGAAAGTGAGAGTATAGAATATTATTATTGTTTAACTTTTTTTTGTACTAAATTAGATAAAAATCACTATACTTTCTCCACCCCAAGATGTTGTGCATATTTTTCATCTTTGATCCATCTCAATTGATTGGTTTCGCTTCCATTTATAGAAAGTATAATGTAGTTCTCCGCGTTTCTTTCTCTGCGTAAATCTGAACCACAGTTTTCACTCTAGTTATAACTGTGCCCAGTCAAACAAAATGGGACAAAGGGAGGATTATATTATTTCTCTATGTAAGACTTCAGTGCTTTGCTTTACCATTCTTCTGCAACACCTTGCACTTATGAATTGTTTTGTGGTCATGCACAGGTTAACATGAATGAGAAAGATTATCAAAGAAAGAAGAACAAGTTCCTTGCGAAGATTCATGCTTGGTACGCTCTTTCTGTATACTGTTGGTGTCCAGTATCTTAATCTTTTGTTGTGCTGGTAAATAACCATAACAAACTGAAAAGACAGGGAAAATGCCCAAACTTGCTATGTACATGTCCTGTTTTAATACATTTACATATGCTATTGACTAAATTTGCTTTCTTTTATCCAACATAACTTTTATAGTAGACATGTTGAACATGCCTTAAACCTTTTAGGGTGCAAGAGCATGGTGGTGAAACCATTCTTCCATTTAGTGCTTCTTTGGAAAGGAGTCTTGCTGATATGCCACCAGATGAAGCTGCAAAGTATTGTGAGGAAAACAAAGTACAAAGGTCAGTCCAAAGTCAATATTGTTTTCTCTAGGTACTGTGTCATTGGTGTATTGCATGATCTTACCTATAAACTTTAAAGTTTAAAACTTAAATATTTTTATCCCTAACTGTCTTTGTTACGGCTTATGGACATTATGGCGTTATGTGTTTGTACTGTCTTTAACTACTTAGACTAGTAATCTTTTCCATTTGAATATTGAATTATGGAGTAATATTATTTTCAACTTTGTCTGTAAGACCTCCTTACAAAATGTGATGTGATTCCATATTCCCATTTGAATTTTTGACGATCTACTCTGAGCTGATCTGAATGTTTTTTATCTGTTCTGATGATCTTGTTTAATGTATCTTGTCTGGTCTGTTTTGAATGTTTCTTTCTTGTCTGGTTTGGTCTGGTGTTATTTGAATGTCTTTTGTGATTAAACTAAGGAATAAGATGAACAAACAACACCTATAGACACGTAATGGACAAAACCAATCCTACCGTAAATGTACCTGGAAAATGCATTACTTGTGACTTAATGGAAACTCATTATGTTTCATGTTTCAGCGCCCTTCCTAAAATCATTAAGACAGGCTTTTCTGCAATTAATCTCATATATTTCTTCACAGCTGGACCTGATGAGGTATTTAATGTTTCTTTATTTGGTTTCTTATCTTTTGTTTTGCTTTGATTTTATGACTGGTAGTTTACAAATAAATCTGGGTTTGCAGGTAAAATGCTGGCAAATTCGCCGCCAGTCAAAGGCTCCTCAAGCTGCAGGAGCTATTCACACTGATTTCGAGAGAGGATTCATTTGTGCTGAGGTAATTAGTCATACTCCTCCCGTCCTATAAATATAGTTCAGTTTTTCAAACTTTTTTTTGTCCCAAATAAGTCTGATTTTGATAGTCAACTTTGATTTAAAGTATATTTTCTATAATATCCTCTTTATGGTAAAATGTAAAAAGAACAGAATGATTAACTCCATTAACTCATTGAAATAATAATACAGTTGTATGTGTAAGCATTAAAGGCAGTACAATTTTCCACAAAGAGAAAGCCGTTTTACATTGCCAATATCAATTGCACCACTCTACTTCATTAGTTTTTTAGCAATTCTCTAGTTCTTTACAAAAAACAATTTAAGTAATGATTTTCTTTATGGAAATTTGCCAATTCAGTGAGATAATATAATTGTACTTTAGTTAAGCGCTAGGGTAATATTGGCAATTTATATTTGATATAAACCAAGTCTGTGTTGGATATGTGAAGTTTGACTTTTAGCCGTGAGTACAGCCATCTTCAGTCAGTCATCAATTCACCTCCTTCGACCTTGTGGTTCCATTCAAGTGACAATTGGTGGCTCTGATGGAGCAATTTGATGATATTTTTCCCTTTTATTCGACTAAAGAGTATTATACGGTTTTGGATTATCCATCAGTTTCTTTTTTTATTTGATTTTTTTTTTGGGAAGGGCAAAAGATCTGTGTCCATTTGCAGGCAGTATTGTTATTTTTCAGGAGAATTAATGTATTCCTTCTTCTCCTTTTTATAACCTATCTAATGTTTCGGTTTCCTGTTACAGATAAAATTCTGTGATTTTTACTCCATATTATTTCTTTCTTTTGCAAAATATCAACCGCTAATTTTTTTAAATTGCGTGCAACAAATGAATGAAAACATTAAATAGGAATGAAGGAGGGAGTATACCATTAGTTTGTGTTTTATACCCAGAGTAGAGTTTGTGCCTCCTTTAGTCTTTCCTTTGTGGTCTTTGCATAATCTCTTTTTTGTTTTCCTTGATTGTGTGATTTCTAGCACTAGGTTTTGTTTTAACACATTGTTGTTGAATCTTGAAATCTTGGTGCATGGAATTTGTATTATAAATACGAGTATTTAATTATTTATTTTATTGCTTTAGTTCTTGTTATCTTGGTATACTTTGTTTCTCTTGGAAGAAATTGGATATTTATATACTAAGAGTATATATTATGCAACATATTAGTATATATGTTGACTTGTCTATAAGTTATCAGCTAGTCAACTGACTAGTCGGTTAGTCGGTTTGCTGATGGCGTGAGTATCAGCTTTATATTCTTGGAGTGAAGTTCAAGAATATACTTATATTAGTGATTTAGTGTTTTGTTCCTATCATAAGCGACACACTGCTGCCACTTTTATTTATCCGGCAAAAGGAACACATCCTCGGTGTACTCCGATCTTGTTATTTAATTTTATTGGTCGCTTTCTTTTTAAAAAATCTTGTGTAAGTTGAACTGTTGAAGAAAATATTTAAAAGAGTTGGTTAACAGGGTTTCATGTTGTATTTTGTCAGGTCATGAAATTTGAAGATCTAAAGGAACTTGGTTCCGAGGCTGCTGTTAAGGTATTCATTTACTCCCTCTGTCCTATTATATCATGTCTTCTTTCCTTTTTTATACATTCTAAACATCCAATTTATCATGTCTAGAAAGCATAATACGGTTCATACCATTTCACTCTCGCAGGCATAAATCTCAACCATACAATTTTCACTTTTTTTCATCTCCATGACCAGTAAAGTAGTCACGATAGAATGGGACTTTGGGACCTAGGGAGTATTACTTTCCAGATGTCTCTCTAGCTCCCTCTATCTAAAAGAACATTACATCTTTTTCATATAAGTTCAAATACTTTATGGAAACTCAACTCTTAAATTTAGTACTTTAAAGGCATGTTGGTGAGGCTATTAGTGGAGGAAGGAAATGAGCTATTTTTTAATTTAATTTGAGGGGATCTTACTATCTGTCCCAAATTTAAAGTGCACTTTGGCCAGACGCAGAGGTTAAGAAAAGTGTGAGAAGTAAATAGCGTGTGGTTGGAAATGATTTGAAAGAGAAATAATGATGGCCACATATTCCTTACCAGACGAGAAGGTGGACTTTTATTTTTGGACAAACCAAAAAAGAAAGTGTGTTGTTTATTTTGGGACAGAGAAAGTATATGGTTCATGGTTATATTAACAATTAGTTAATCATTATAGAGATTAACTTTTATTTTTGGACAGACCAAAAAAGAGAGTGTGTTTATATTGGGATAGGGAGAGTATATGGTTCATGTTTATATTAACAATTAGTTAATCTTGATGGAGATTAACTAGTTTTTGATAGGACTTAGAATGAGGTTTGATAGGATTCGGAGTGAGGTTTTCCGGGGACGGGTAGGAGTGGCACCTGTGGAGGATAAACTACGAGAAGTTCACTTGAGGTGGTTTGGACATGTGCAGTGGTGTGGCATGAGGCCCCAATGCGGAGATGCAAGAGGCTGACAGTAGTGGATGGGGGTGGGGGAAAGGGTAGACCTAGGAAGAATTGGTAAGACGTCCTTAGATAGGAACTAAGATTTTTGGCCTTTATCGAGGATATGACCTTAGATAAAAGTGTCTTGAGATCTAGGACTAGGGTAGTTGGGAAGTTGTTTGGGCCTTGGTGGTTCTTGCTTTTGTCGTGTGTGCTTTCTATGCTTGGGGTTTAGCTGCTTGTGGCAGTTTGTGTGCTTTTTATCTAATTGTGCCTTTTCTTTATCCTTCATTTGCTCTTTTCTTTTCTTGACTTGTTATTTGCACATTGATATATTGGAAGATTGTAATAATGACTCCAAATCAATCTATAAGTTCCTTAGAGTAACTCCATGGTGGAGTTACAATACAAGACTCCGATCCGACTTAGATATGAATTTTTGTTTAGAATGATGGTTCTATGACATTCGTTTCAAAAAAAAAGGGATGTGTATGGCAACCAGCTTTTGGTGTGCATTTTGGGTGAAATCAGCTAGTATTTGACTTCAATCAAACAGCTATTTGAATGGTTTTATTAAATAGTTTCTTAGAAAAAGACTTTTTGGCTTCAAGAAGCTTTTAGGTCTGCATCTCTTTACACAAAGAACCCAAACAGCTCACACAAGCTAATCCAAACATTGAAGTTGCCATACTTGTTTTACGTTTTCATTCTCGTTGCAAATGTAAAGTGTTCCGTGTAAAAAGTAATAACACACTGCCTGCTAATCTAAATAGGCTGCTGGGAAGTATAGGCAAGAAGGAAAGACGTATGTGGTCCAAGACGGGGACATAATATTCTTCAAGTTCAACGTCTCTGGTGGAGGCAAGAAGTGAGATTTTTATCTGCTGCTGTCTTCTGTCAAGCCCCTTTGTGGCAAATTCAACGCTTTATTACGACTGCAAACCCTTTAGGTATATGCTCTTCTTCTACATTCACTCTTCTGCTAACCAAATAGTAAGATTTTTCTGCTATGATCTGAAATATTGTGGTATGTGTTAGCAGGTGCAACTTAGTAATACTTTTATATGCCTACAATTGTTTCCCACTCCCCCTTTCATTTTCATGTGGAATGAATAGTAGCCTGTTTTGCTCCTGTGTTTAGCTATTTGTTAATCAGATTTGCAAGACTTCTTTTTTTATTTATTAAAAAAAAGACGCCAAACTTGTTAAGTTAACAAACACCATCAGACAACGATTTCTCGCACACAATTGTCTCTAGGATATCAACCGTGGCGTCATCGTTGGAGTTAGAGTAGCGCTATTTATAAAAAAAAGTACTTCTCACCCATACTATACTCTCCATTCTTAGTCGCCCAAAAGGTTCCCACATTTTTTCCCCTTTTGCGTCCAAAAGTGGTTCGACGTTCCTTAAAATGGGGTTCATATTATTTCCTCTTTATAAATTTCAAAGTTTCACTATTTTTTGGGTTTGGAGTATGATGTAACAAGGCAAAATGATTCTTTGAACTGTGTGCTTTTGTAGTGAAGTACGCAGTTAGTCAATGCACTTTCAACTTTGATTATGAGTCACAAAGTAGTTGCTCTATGTTTTAAACATAGATTGCGTACATCCAACCCTTCACCACGTAATGGGTAGGAGCCTTTGAGGCACTCGGGTGATGTTGTTGAGTAACTATCTTGTGCTATCAAATATCACCTTTGTCCCTGAGTTGCCCCGATAACATGGGCACATTTTTTTGGATTGGGCATGCATATATTTTTTTGTTTCAGTTTTTTTGACGAAATTTTCAAATATGTAAGTTTTAATTTTAATGTCTATATTAATTTCTAAATAAAATGAATCTATAAAACTTGAAATTTTGTTTCATTTTACATAAAGTGTAAAATATTTTGGGACGTAGAGAGTAAATATTACTCCCTCAAGTGGGCTGCCAAACCCAAATGGAAATACTTTCTCCGTCCCAATTTATAGTGTCTATTCACTATTCATAAAGCCAAACTTTATTCATTTTTTTCTCTATTTTCGTTAGCAATTTGATAAAATAAAATACTATTGTCACTACTAGTTTTGTAGATCTATTGATGTAGGGGGTGTTTGTTTTTTGGCTAGAAGAGCTTCTGGCCTCTTTTGTCTGCGCCGTGCAGACGCGCGCAGATGCTGAGCTTTGCAGATTGTTTGTTTTTTGGAAGACATTTCACTCAAAAAGGTCTTTCCGGCATCTTCTTGGAGAAGACATTAACCTATGTCTTCTAACATCTTTTAACATCTCCATTTTTTTCTTCTACTCTTCACCACCACCACCGTCCACCACCATCACCACC